CTAAAAAAAGAACATTTCAGTCAATGGCAAAGATTCAGATAGTCTTGGACCAGAAAGGAGGAAGAAATAACTTGTATCTTCAAAGAATAAAGAACTAAACCAGGTTTAACCATTTCTGTACTCTAGCTCTTGTTTCTTTTGAGGAGTCAAATTTAAGGTAGAATTCAGTTTTGAAACAGCAAAACTATTTGGCTGTTTCATAGCAGCATGTGCCCTCTGTTTGTACAAACTCTGCTATTTGTAAGCCAGACAACTGCATTGATACCTCATGCTTTCATGCAGAATACATTTATATATTTAGAATGGTTTATTTTGTTTTAAAATTTGATAAAACCGGTTTCTTCACGAGTAATAGTGAGACAGAGCAATAGTTCTTGTTATTATTTTTCTTAATTATTTTCTGAAATGGCCAGTGTTCTCACTAGAAATTGTGATCATTGGAGTGAAATTTGTTTGCTGGTTGTTAATCTATTTTCGTTAGCTGGAGCTGTTGTGAGAAAAGGCCCCATGGGAAGAATGAAATGAGCTCAGTAAGTTTGCTCATTCATCCAAGTGTATGTAACATGGCTTTTTATTTATCATGTTGCAATTGAATTGGATCAAAAGCAAATAATTTTCACATTTAATGAGCAGGTCTGAGTCACATCACACTGAAGTCTTTCTTATGTGTGTATGTATCTGTTTTCTCCTAGGTGAGGAATTTTAAATTGGAACAGGAGCAAGAGAAAAACAAGATTTTGTCTGAAGCGCTGGAGGCCCTGGCCACTGAGCACCATGAACTAGAGCAGTCACTGGTGGAAGGATCTCCTCCGCTCAGCGTCCTCAGTGAGGACGAGTTCTATGATGCGCTGTCAGGTAACTGTAGTGCCTTCAGCTGGAGGGTTGGCGACTCAAAGACAGCGCCGAAAGGTACTTTCAGGGAGGATGCCACCTAAGTGTCCTGGACTGACTAGATAGAAATGTGTCAGCCTGACTCCCAAATATCAGAATCATGAGGGATGAGAGTTTGAAATGCAAGTCTTTTTTGTTTAATTTTATTTTATTATTTTGTGCGTGTGTACCATCAAATCAGATCTGACTGGTACAGGAGGACATTGTCCCTCCTTCTCCAGCAGAGCATCTGGTGCATTAGAACCATGTACCTCTGGGATTGCAGTGCAGCTTCTTGCCACCAGGCCACCAGAGCTCCCTTGAAATGTAGATCTTAAGACAGAGTCTCCCTGTATTGAAAGGTTAGACTATGCTCATGGAGATATGGTGGCCTGGTGGTAAGGAGCTGTTCCGCCAAACCAAGACGATGTGGTTTGAATCCACCAGCTACTCTGAGAGAGAAAGATGGGCCGTTTCCTCCCATGCAGTTTACTGCCTCCAAAACCCCACCAGAGGGGGGACTGTGACTCAGTTCAGACTCAATAATACGTAACAACAGCATGCTCAACTAGGACTGGGGTGTCAATGAAGTGGCACACTCTATCCCATGGTTTAATTCATTAACTACCTCCTGGTGCCAGGTACCATTATATAGTTTTTGGATTGTCCCCTTGCCATTGTGTTGGTTCTGACCCCTAGGGACCCCCCACTGAGGTTCTGAGGCAGTAAATCTCCTTATGAGCAGAAACTGTCCATCTTTCTCCCTCAGAGCAGCTGATGGATTTGAACTTCTGACCATTCATTTAGCAGTGCAACATGCTACACCATACCCCAGGGCTCAGTGCCGGGGAGGAGAGGTGGACAGTCTTGTCCTTAAAGAGAAAGAATCAAGGCTTCAGTTGAGTAAGACTTGGTTGCCATATAAGTAGCCATATAATATGCTTAGTGTGAGAGTAGAGGTCAGACCACAGAATGACTGGAGCAGAGAGAAGGAAAAGCTTTATTTTGTCTCCGAATTGGCTGATGAGGGACAGCCCAAGGGGACAGCCAGGAGGCTGGATGCCAGAACCAGGCTATCAGATCACATCCTGCCCCTGACACTAGCCAGCTGTATGACCTCAGCTTGTTCCCCCACCTTTCTGGGTCTCAGTTTCTACATATTTTCCAATGGAGATGATACAGTATCTTTTTGACAGACTTCTATGAGGAGTTATGAAATACTATGAGCTAGTGTTTCAAGGATCCTTAGCATTCTGCCTGTGTGTGTCAATGCCCAGTAAGCGGAGGATGAATGTGGAGAATTAAGGCTGACTTGGAAGGAGGATCCTCTAAGCAGCTGTGACACCTTGGGGTTTCCCTTTTAGGAATTTTGAGGCAGGTTTGGGCGGAAGGAGCAGGAAAGGAATGTGGAGGGGAGAGATTGGAGATTGGTAAAATTGAGAAAATGGACAGGGATTTTTAATGGAAAGAAATTAAATGCTTCTGTAATAAGTGAACATATGCTGTTACTGGGTTTCAAAGAGCCTGATCCACAGAAGCTGGAAACCTTGATGGATGTGATGCGGAAATCCATCTTCACCTCATCGCCATCAGATCAAAACCTTGATTCATGCTGGGCCATATCTGACCCGCCAGCAGATTTCCTGAGGGGCCGAGTCACAGGCGAGGAGCTGGCCATCTTCTTCTCATGGCGTAGTTGGTGGGTCTGAACAGCCAGAGAGGTGCCACCTTTGAGTTAGCAAGCAGTTCAACTCAACAGAGAACATACAGTGAGAAGAAGAGGAGAAAGGAGAGTTAAATAAGATGTAGAACTTCAGAGAGCTGCAGAAGTCAAGAAGAATGATGCTGGTAGGTGGTAGATGGAGGGAGAAAGAGATTCATTAAAGAAGAAAATCAGATGGGGACATTAATAGAGGTATGACATAATTAAGGAAGAACTGTAATTTTAGAAAGAAGATTCATAAGATAATTAAAGAAAGATGAGGGCACTGATGGTGGTGGTGTCAATTAATTGTGGCATTTGTGAAATGAGTGCCTTACATATTGGGAAAATAAAATAAAGATGGGATTTGAAAGAGCATATTTCGTGTAACTTGAGGAAAGGAGGAGGGGATGGTGGGTGACATTTAAGGTGGTGACAGTAGGTGCAAACCCTGTGGCAGGTCCCGTCGTCTTCTCCCCCATGCTCCTTCTGGTTTGGGACAGAGTGAATGGGAAGCCGTTGGAAGGATTTCAGGACTGCAGAGTCAGCCAGGCAAAGAGGTCTGGTTATCAAAGGGTCAGGCATGCCAGCTGCGCCTCTTTTCTCTCTCTCTCTCTCTCTATCTCTGTGTGTGTGTGTGTGTGTATTTGCACACACACATGCATCTTTTTCTCAAGAAAGCATGTTTGTTATGAACAATCCAACTTATATATGTTGGCTATCTGAGGACAGTCTTCCATTTCCCCTTATCTTAATCATATTCTTCCTAAGAGATTCTTGGTAACAGCCTGGTAGACTCTCTTTTATAACTTTTATAAGTATTTTATGTATGTGCTGCTGTTGTGTATTGTAGAGTCCCAACTGACCCATAGCTGACCCACCAGGGGGTTTTCAGAGGGGTTTTTTAATAGTACTGGAGGAGAATGCCCATCAGTTTTGCAGCTCTGTCACATTCTGTCTATAGATTGTTTCATAGCCCATGTATGGTTGGACCACAGTTGCTTTGTTTTCATATTCATAAACTTTTTGCAGCTACAGTTACTTTTCTGTGTCTTGTTGGATGCCATTGGGTCGAATACAAGCCATGGTGGCCCAATGAACAACAGATCTGAGCCCTGCCCTATCCTGTATCATCCTCACGGTTTCTGACACACCCACTAAAGCATTCACTGTGTCAGTCTTTCTGGTTGAGGGTCTTCCTCTCTTTCACCAACCCTCCACCTTTCTAAGCATGATGTCCTTCTCCAAGGAACAGCCTCTCCTAACAACATGCTCAAAGGGTGTGGGACAAAACTTTATCATCTTTCCCTCCACGAGCACTCTGGCTGCACTTTCTCTGAGACATAATTGTTCATTCGTTTGGTAGTCCATGGGATATTCAGCCCTCTTCTCCAACACCACCAATGCAATGCGTCAGTTATTCTGTCATACTTATTCACTGTCCAGATTCAAAAGATCATGCCTGAATCAGGCACACCTTAGTCTTCAAACTGACTTCTGCTTCACAGTCTCGTTTCCACTGAGTCTTCTCTAGGAGGAGCAGATATATAGAACTATTCAGGTCACGACTGAAGAATAAACTTGATCTCAAATGCCAGTTCAGGCTGATGAGCGCTGTCAGCTGCTCTGCAGTGCTGTGTGGAGGAGCCGGGGGCTCCATCTGGTTGCTGGGTTGATTGACAGTCTCTTGGGCCTTTGGGAATGAAGTGGTAGCCCAGGAGCCTTGCTGTGGCTTCTCTCTGCCCTCAGTGATCTACCTGATAACAGTTTTATTTGTCTAAACTTTAGAACATAGCTCTTTTATTTCTTTTTTTTATGGGCAAAGGAAAGGAGAAAGTACATAGCTGTTTTTGGCCATTCCTGCCATTTCTGATCACCAGATCTTGGGAATCCCTTTATAGAATTTAGAAATGACCCTAAAATTAAGAGTTAAGTGCTCTAAATTCAAATCTTGACTTTTAATTATGACTTAGTCACATAATACATTGAGTTGTAACAAAATACCTTGATTTTTTAAAAAAATTAATCTTCTAACTACAATCTCTAATTTTAACCTCCATTCTCTCTCCTTTCCTTTGCTATAGAAGAAGAAACATGACTGCTTTTAAGGCCTTTCCTTCCACGCTTGCTATAGTTCCCATCTCCAGGTGCCTTCGCAAAGGTCTTTGTTTAGTTACTGCTTTCCTTGTCTTTTTTCTATACTACATCATTTAAACTATTAACATAAACAAAAATGAATATAAATTCTAGTATTAGTTTCAGTTAATGCTGTAACCATTTAAGACACTCCTGGTGACTTAGACAGCACAGGTTTAGTCTCCCACGATCTGGAGGTCAGAAGCCCTGGAGCTAAGTACTGCCAGGACTCCATTCCTTCTCAAGTTCTAGGAGAGAGCTTTTCCTGGCCTTAGAGCCTGCCTGCATCCCGTGACTCCATCCTCCATCTTCACAGACAATAGTGGAGCAACTTCCAATATTGCGCTCTAACAGTGGTCCTCCTGCCTCTTGTAAGGACTAATCTGGAGACTACGGTGCGCCTGATACAGGCATGGTCTTTGCAATCACTTGCTATGACATCAGAGAGCTGGACAGTGACTAGGGATGATAGAAGGAGAGTTGATGCCTTTGAGCTGTGGTGCTGGAGAAGAGTGCTGAACATACCATGGACTGCTAGGAAAATGAACAGGTTCATCCTGGAGAGGGGGAAGCCAGGCTGCTCCTTAGAGGAAAGGATTCTGAGGCTCCATCTGACATACTTTGGACATGTTGCAAGGTGGGCTCAGTCCTTGGAGAGGGACGTCATGCTTGGGAGGGTGGAGGGACAGCACAGGAGAGGAAGACTCTTGATGAGATGGATTGATTCAGTCACTGGGATAATGTGGATAGGTTTGTTGAAGACAATAAGATTGGCAAGGGATAGAGCAGGGTTTAGGGCTTTTGTACATAGGGTCATTACAGCAGGTGACTCGATGGCACATAACAGGGAGCTTTGATGATCTAGTGGTAAGAATGTATGCTACCAACTCTAAAGCACACAGTTCGAATCCACCATTCTCCTCCTAAGTAATTTACTGCTTCTGAAAACTTGCTGGTGGGTCAGCTATAACTTGGTTCCAACTCAATGGTACATAAGAAAATTGGAATGGGACTTGTTTAGGGGCCATTGTAATTGTGGTCAGAACTAACATTCTTCTAAGTAGCACAACACTGGTGTGTCAATTCACTGTACTGAGGTAACTTGAGGTTGCTGTGATGCCAAACACTGTGCCACAAGTGTATCAAA